TAGTTTGGACACAAATTAGACAGGTCTAAGACTGAGGCCACTCCGTGCTGAAGCGTTTTGTTTCTGATTATGACTGTTAGCTAACAGTCAATAATACAAGATGAATAATAGAATATACTTCATAAGTAATGTGTATTACTGTGGCCTCAACTCAGTGTTTAGAGACCAGTTTTAATGTAAGGACTTCAAACTACACATTTAGAAGACCAAATGTTTGATTTTGGGGGGGGGGGGGAGGGGCGGGTGTCAAACAATTTTAAAAAAGGATATTCCAGACTTATTCATGTTTAAATTAGTCTTTGAAACTAGTTTTAAAATAGCTTGAATCCAATTGCACATTTTACAGAGGAGAATAAAGATCCAAATAATAAATTATTAATTGGGACATATTTCCTGAGCATGGACCTGATCCAAAGCCTGTGGAAGTGAACGGGATTCTTTCCATGGAGTTTTCTCTGCCTTGGATCAGGTCCTATGTTAGTGGAAAAACAGGTTCTGCCTGTCCTCCACCCCCAACCATGGTCACCTTAAGTTTCAATAATAAAAGATGGCTTATGGGTATTTATGCAAAGAGAATACTTAACAAATTAAGCATCTCCTCAGCTGAGACACACTGATATGGTTTATATTATACAGATATAGGCATTTATAAGGTCTGAATGTTGTCATATACATTCTTATTATTTATTATTTTAGATACGTCCCACTGATCTCACCACATGTATTTTCATGTTTGTTTACTGTCAACTTTAAAATTGATGCTCTGCTGTTGTTTATGTGCCATTTGAGTTTTCAACTATTTTGAGGGAAGACTTATTGGTATTACAGGCTTAATTAACTGACATGAGTAAAGTTATGCACATGCTTAAGTTTTGCAAGATCAGAGCCAGAGCTTGAAATTTTTGCCCATATCTTTAAATTATTCAATAAGATGTTAAGGTTAGGGTGACCAGATGTCCCAATTTTATAGGGACAGTCCTGATTTTGGAGGCTTTTTCTTATATAGGCTCCTATTACTCCCCACCCCCATCCCGATTTTTCACACTTGCTGTCTGGTTACCCTAGTTAAGGTTAAAGATTTAGCAAACCAAGACTTTGGAAGTACTCTCTTAAATCAATATGATTCTTTTCCCCCAGTGGATTTCTGAACCAATACAAAACTCTGAATCAGGGCCTGTAAGGGTATGTCTACGTTGTAGCTGAGTGCAACCCCCCAATCCAATTAGTCAGACACACACTAGCAGGGCTCAAATTAGCATGCTAAAAATAGCATTGTGGATGTTGTGGCTCAGGCTCTCAAGCCTAGGGAGTAAGGTGGGCTTGAGAGTCCAAGCTGCAATATTCACACTGCTGTTTTTAGCGCACGAGCATGAATCTGTCTGTCCGAACTAGGCGGTTCACTCCTGGCTGCAGTGTAGACATACTCTAAAGCAGCAAGTCAATTTCTCTAAGTGAATTAATAGGACATGTTTTTACTCTGTAGCTATTTTTTAATTTGTTGTTGTGCTTTTCAGATAATTTTATGGTACATCTCACCAGTTCAGATTTGAGGAAACAAGGGTATTGGCAGGCAGCAGCAAGTCCAAATGTCATGCAGGGATCCTGCAATCTGATCCATGGGGGTGGACTTTTATGCCTGCACACACTCCCATTGAAGTCAATGGGGCTCTGTGAGGGTCTGCCCATATGGGTCAGGTCGCAGGTTTGGGGCCTACCTCACGCAGCTTCTGAACTGCTATAAATATTCACAGCATTGTCCTACAGGAGTGTCTGATATACCTATAATATATGCACAACTGAAACGTACTGTGCAGTGCGTATATTTTTCAGCTGCTAAAGGTGAAAGAGAGATTCTACCACTTGCAGACTTCTGTCACAGATTATATTCAGAAATTTTTGATCAGCCCAGAATTATTTTATAACCGATTAAAATGTACAACAGTGTAAGTACTTTATTTACTTATGAAGACATAAATAAATAAACAAAAACTCCATAAGCCATCATTTTTGCTATACATGGAATACTATTTTGCATATTGTTAAGTTCAGCAGCTTTCTGGAAAAAATTGATTCCACAAAAGGAGGGTCCAATGCAAATTGGTCTTCTTTCAATACAGTGTCTAACGGCTGTATTAATTATTTGATCAGTTTGTGGTATTTTGAAGGTGAAGACATTTATAGTGTTCTCTTAATTAAATCTATGTGAGAAGTTTTAAATAAGAAAAATACCTGCAGATGTACATCCTGGGCAGTGTAGAAGGGATCCTATTACTGTTACTAAGGATACTGTGATAGCACCTAGAGAGCACAGGCCCCACTCTGTTAGGTTTCAGACACACATAACAAAAAGATGGTCCATGTTCGTTCTGATTTTCCCCTTCTCTTCTGAACTAGGGTATTATTTGCATGTGCTAAATAGTTCCTGAACCTCCCGTTGAATTCAAAATACTTTGTTATGCATAAGAATCCTCATTAGATGTCTCCATTCTGGGGTTTTGTTTGTTTGTTTTGCCTTTCCCCACCCAGCAGGAGAAACAGTTCATCTCTGGCTGGCTGGGAAAGGAAGAAAAAGTGAACAGCCCTCCCTTAAGGCCACAACTAATTGGAGCTCTATGGATCAGCCAACAAGGATGTCACCATTGCTGTACCATGAGTATCCTCTCCCTCAAACAGGCTGACATCTCCGTTATTTGTTTTCCCAATGACAAAAGACAATTACTTGAATCGCAGTCAGTCTGTATCAGTACAATTAGAGTTTTGGTTGGATATGTCAAAATAACCTTTTCTTGTCATTATTTTTTGCTTACCCTTCTTATTAGTCCAAAATCTATTGAAGGGAAAATAAAGTAGAGTGTCAAATATGCTTTAAGCCACCTTCCACTGAATTGTACACAACATATCTAACTCCGGTTTTGCTGCTTCTAAAGAATATCGGAAAATGTGAACGTGACCAATCCTCAGTGAATTAAAAACATTAGACAGAGTTTCTGTATCGACCACATTTTTAAAAAAATAGACGCAAGTATCTTAAAATAATTATGAATAAAAGGACAATAATATGGGTCCACAAAGCCTGCCTATAAATGTTGTATAAAAGTTCTTATCACAGATGCACCCTATATACAAATATAGCTGTCGAAATCTAGCTTTTTCAAATCAAAATACTGTATAATTAAAATTTAGCAATGGAATTTGACTCTTTTCTCAGCTAGGCTGATTTGGATATCTAGGCTTCAAATTCTTCGTATGTATTGACCCACTGTGTTTATAGTCACATTTCTTGTTTCCCCTGACCATGTTGACTACCTGTAACAATTTTTCTATTATTAACTATTCTGTAAACAATGGGTTGCTTATGGTCAATTTTATACACCCAGAGACAGATCCTCAGCAGATGTAAATTGGCATAGTTCTATTGACTTCAGTGGAGCTATAACAGTTTGTCAGTTGAGGATTAGGTCACGCATTTCCTTTTTTTTTTTCTTATCCATGAAACTCTGAAAAAATAATTTAGCAATAGTGTTGGCCTATGTGATGTATTTTGCTAACATAAGAATTTTTACTTCCAGATATTTACAAGATGACCTTAAGACAAACTTTCAAAAGGGAGGCCTAACTTCTGTGGGTGATTTCAGAAGTATCTGGTCCTTTGACTACTTGATTATGGGAACAAATTAGATAGTTGGAAGGGCAAGTACTCGGGGTAGTGACTGCAAAAAAGGAAGCCGAACCCCTGGCCTTTGAGAATTTAGCCCTATATTCTTATTGGTCCATCCTGAAGACTTCGGGCCTGACTCCCCTGGAAGTAGGGTGACCAGATGTCCTGATTTTATAGGGACAGTCCTGATTTTTGGATCTTTTTCTTATATAGGCTCCTATTACCCCCCCATCCCCTGTCCCGATTTTTCACATTTGCTGTCTGGTCACCCTACCTGGAAGTCGGTGGGAATTTGACCTGAGCGAGGAACTACAGAGTGCCCCCTATGATATTTACTCTGCTGCTTCTAACTCTGAAAGGGTCCTGGCATCTTGTGTTCATGGAATGACAATATAGGTTTTCTTGATCTATAACTGAATTGATCACAGTGGCTCAGGAATTAGACATCTCTTAAAGGAGCTCTGTTTTCGGGCAGGAAGTATAGATTGAAACACGTCAATAATAATGTGCTTAATTATTTTTTTTTAAATTATTAGCACCCTGAAAGTATGCAAGGACTAAAGAGTTTAAGGTTGTTTACATTTAGGCTGTAAGAGGTGCCTCTTGTAAGTATTAAGATAAACAAACTGAAGCTGTTGTTTTCATTAGCATGTAACACAGAGTCCAGTTTCCTTACCTCACATAACACTAAAGTAAAGTTCAGTGGCAGAAAGCAACTTGATCTCCTGCAAGTATGAGTCTAGATAAACTACAGTACAGGAAAAAAATCCAGATTGTATACCTATTGACATTGCTTAATAAAAACATCTAGAATACTGGTGCTTCTGGGTGTGTTTCCAATAGCAATGTGATTACAGTGCTATATGGATTAAGTTACAATCCTTTGAATTCTGACCTTCAGTCTAAAACAGCTTTAGAGGTTACTCTTTTTCCGATTTGTGAGATTGCAGCAAAAAAAGAGTTAGTGCTGCTGGAAGGAAGCAGGAGGAGGTGGGGGAGGGGGACTTTGAAGCCATATGAAAGGTTTTCCTCTGCAGTTGCTTTGTAACAACAAATATAGCAGCCCGATTCTAAGTGATTATACAACCTTCCAAAATCTAGTATGCAACAATTGGGATTTCTGTGAATATAATTACAACTGAGACCCAATGGGAGAAAGATTGGACCCTTGGCAAACAAATGAATGTGCATGATGTAATTGCTAGTAAAGATCAAAGCAAATCACTAGGGTTGATTGCAATTAAACAATTCAATGGGGAAACAATTGATGGAAGTGTGAAAATAGTTGTCCATGTAATGATTATTTTAATTTAGACTTGCACTTTTTCCTTTTCATTACAAGGCCCAAAGCATGGAATATTTATGAACTTCACTTTTAGAAGACACTTCACCATTCCTGTACGTCGAAAGAAAAATACTTGTGGCTGATTGAGTATTTGAAGGTTGAGGACATACATATTTATTATATTCAACTAACCCAAGGTTTGTGATTTAGAAAGTTATGAACAAACTTACAGTGTGTGTTTTATGAATAATTGTAAGTCTTTTCGTAACTATTTTGTCAGATTTGAGCTTGGACATTTAATTTTTACCATTCCTCTTAGATGCTTAATTTTTTTAAAATTAAGCAGCAAATTCACCTTTTATTAATTTTAGTCTTGTCTGTCATTGGTCAAAAACTTATCCAGATACTGACAAATAACCAAGATACAGTAATTACCCACTACTCCATCTACTGTTGAACAGTGACTTTACCAATGCTAGGAGGAAAAAATATATGGCATAAAGTTAGGAAATAATAACAAAATGGGATTCACAACAAATAAACTAATAATTTCTGAGGTTAGTTGACATGCATGTTGTTCTTGCAGAATTTAAAAATTATGAGCTGGTTTGTAATTCAGAACTGAAAAACAAACAGTGATTTTCCAGCTCCTGTTACACCTTATGGGAGGTGCTCACAAAACTGGTTTTGTGCACGTTACCGGAAAAATGGTTAGAGAAAAGACAATCCAGTGTTGCTGAGATGGCTTATGTTATACAGTGTACTGAATTTATGTAGCTGGCAAAGTTATTGCTCTGAGCAAACTGGTAATGATATTGCTACTTCCATCTTATACGAGGTATCAATAAATCAAAGATGAAGAAAGTTTTTAAAAAGTAGGTCTTGGAGAACTACCTACCTAAAAGCTTCAAATTTGCAAAATAATATTTTATATTGTTTATAGTGGCCAATTAATCATAATGTCAGAAAACACCTGATTATTCTGTTAAAACACAATCTATACGTTGCGTTTAATTCTTTTATATACTGTCACTAAGAAGTGGGCTGTAGTCCACGAAAGCTTATGCTCTAATAAATCTGTTAGTCTCTAAGGTGCCACAAGTACTCCTGTTCTTTTTGCGGATACAGACTAACACGGCTGCTACTCTGAAACCTGTCAATAATCTATACAGTTCATCATTAGTGTATTTGATGACTTGCTTGTTATAATGAATTAACAAATTATCTATAACTCTTTATAATGACTGGTGATTATATCACTGGTTTTGAATATATTCTGTCTTTTCATGCTGAGATAGCATAAAGGCGGTTATGTAAATCATTAAAAATAGTGTTAGCAGTTCCCAGTTTGCTCTTTTCATTTAGGCCCTCATCCTACAAACATTGCATAGCTTTACCCAGGAACAGTCCCATAGATTTCAGTGTGACTGCCCATGTGAATAAAGTTACTCACATGCTTAAGTGTTTGCGAGATTGAGGTTTTAATATTAAAGAGAGAGATTCTCAAAAGTACCTAAGTGGCTTAGGAGCACATGTCCCATAGAATTTCAATTGGATTTGTGCTCCCAAGTCACTTAGGCATTTCTGAAAATCCCACCTTAAAAGGTATTGAACTTTGAGGGACCTGCTTACTATTAAAATAATATTCAGAAATTCAATTAGCTAGATGTAATATTATTAAAATAAAGGATGTTGTCCTTAGTGGAGTTGTTATAGCATCCTGCTGGGAATCTCTGAATCAGGAGTAAGGTCTTGATCCCGCAGCTTGGACCAGTAGCATGTCATGGCAATGGCCTGGTCAACTGTTAGGGAAGTGGTGCCATTGCTGACTAGAGTATCCACTTCACAACATTCGATGGATCACAGCTATTAGTGGTTTCATATGAAAGCCAAAAACATGTTTTCAGTATAGAGACTGCTGAGAGAGGAGAGTGATAGATTTGGGGGAATGTGGAGTAAGACAAAATACAGGAAATCTCTATATATAGTATTACAGATATTTAAAATGTACTATCACATTTAAACAAACAAGACAAGACAAACCCCAAACACCGCAAACAAAAATTTTTTTGATTTTCTACTGGAATACCATATATATCTATATTCCTCTATATTATACTATTTATATATGTAATATATATACTTCTATCTTACCTCTTCCTGTACCTCTTGTTTAGTGAAAACCTTCAAACATATATACTCAGTGCATGCCTAGAAGAGCAAATGATAGACATAATCTTCCATTATGAGGGTAAAAAAGAAAGTGCACATCACACAATTTTTTTGTTCATGTATTTTTAGATGCAAAATAGTGAATCTTCAAGATAAGTGCTATCAAATTAGATTTTGAATACAGATAGTATGCATTCCTTCTGCAGAAAGTCTATGGGTTACTTGACTTTATAGTCATTTTACAATCTATAAGTACTGTATCTCAGAGTCACAGAAATTAATGGATTATTTTAAAAAGTGGTATTTAATTTAATGTAGCCATTGGTATATCTTTTGACTAATAACTACAGTCAGCAGTTTGTATGTTTAATGATTATGCATTATACTTTAATTCATCATTACACATATTAAGTAGAACATAATTGAAAGAACATAATTCAATGTAAATAATTTATTAATCAAGCCCTGTCCTTCTTAATCTTAGTGATATTTTTCAGAAGTAATTGTTTGAATGGATGACTTCTGCCACTGTTTTTCTTTGCTTGTAATCACCAAAGACTTTCTATTTTTGATCAACGCAGTAGCATGAAGCACTAAGAGCTCCCCTCAAACATTGCAAACTTCTACTACAGCTAGGCATGTATCTAGGCAACAGCTGCTATGTGTAAAATAAAACTTGTTTGGAGACATAGGAAAGATATTGTCTATTTGAGGGGATTCGAATGTTATATTAATGTTGTAGGGAGTCCAAAAATGAACTTCATTCAGTAATAAAAAAAATCTTAGAGTGTATTTTATTTTTGTTTTCAAACTAAAAAATATACAGGTAGTCATCCTGTGCATCGGTTTAATGTTTATGTAGTATTTTTTATGTGGAGACAAATATTGAAATACTTAATACCACTGTTCTACATCATGATCTTCTGTCTTTATCTAGTCAATTTTTGTAATATGCCTGTCACTGCAATATATGTAAATGCCCCAAAATTACTGTTCCAAGGGATCCCAGTTTCAAAACCAGTGGAAGGACTTGTGGAGCAAGGAATTATTTAGTGCAAGTAAAGGTGGTGGAACTGCTTCCTATGAGCTTATCTTACACTTGATATTGTATACGTATAAAGAGCCCAGTCTTAATTTCTTATAAATCCTTGGATGGCGATTGGGTATACAAGGAATACAGAATAAGGACAAATTCAGACCTGGTGTAAACACGTGCAACTGTAATGAAAGTCTCTTCCAAATTCAGCAATAATATAAAATTATATAATTTACTGGTGGGGTGCAAGTGGTAAATAGTATAATCTGTGCTGATTGGGCATTCGGTGACATGAGTGTTCAAACCAAGGTGGCGGATCAAGGAACACAGCTAAGGGGAGGCTGTAGGGTAAAGCAGAACCCTGCTTTACATATTAGAAATGCATAATCTGGCCTTTTATAGCTACCTAGGATGAGATCATCAGCTAGTATAAATCAGCATATTGTTACTGATATCAATGAAGCTATGCTGATTTAAACCATCTGAGGATCTGGCCCATAATATCAACTGTATAATAAGTTCATAGTTTAGACCATAACGTGAAATAAGTATATTGACTATCTGATGTCTGAAGACTGGAGTTCAGCATAAAGAACTTTAAATCACAGTTTAATGTCTATATAAACAAAGTGAACCCTATTTTATCTACCAGTCTCCTCTTTTTTGCTTTATTATATATGAAACTGTTGTGTTTAAATAGCTCCAATTACCATATTATCTTCTACTGCCAACATGAATGCTATGGAACATGTTAAAATATTGAGAATAGATTTTTTTTCCTGCAGTGCTAAGGGCCCTTTTCCTGACCATCTTATACCTGACTGTAGCTCACCCCATGTCTGCCACCACTGTATTAGACTGTCTGTGTATGGGTTTTTTTGAATACAGATATAGGACACACTCCTGAAATTCTTATTCAGGCACTTCCATTAAGGACTGATTCCTTAGTCATACAAATACAAAATTAAACTATAGAAGATGTATCTGTTTTAGTAAGCAAAGGTTTCAGAATGGCTACATTTATTTCATATAACTGTGTATTTGATTTAAAAAAAAATAAAATGAAATGTGTTTGTGTGGCAATAATCTACATTACTAGGAGTCTTGAGTCTTTACTTATATGTTTAAACTATTTTTGTCTTTACATAGCAACTTCTGGATTTTTAAAGGTTTGTTGATTTATTTATTTATTTATTAAAAAGGGATATTGAGTAATGTTTTAAAATGTTAGATAATACATAACATGTTTCAGTTTTGAAATTTCTCCAAAATAACTCGGGCCTTCATTCTGCAAAAGCATGTGTATAATTTTGTTCATTTAAGTAGATGGATCTCCTGAAGGGAGTAAAGTTGAGCATTTGTTTTTTTTCGAAACAAAGTAATTAACACTTATACATGCCATACCAGTAAGGACTTCAAACTAAACCCTTTTTGAAACAGGCTGAGATTCCACAGAACAATTACTGTTTATTTGTATTTCATTCTCTTATTTAATTTTACCTGACAAAACTGGGTATCTCCATGATAACATATTTGTATTTCTTTTACAGCTTAATATAAAACATCATAAACAGTATTTTTAGCATGCGAAATGTTATGCAAGTATAAAGAAGTAAACTCATTCAGTTTATGCTGGCTACATGGGCAGGCCCAATAGAAATCTGCTTATTTTGACCTGAACTCCCATATATGGTATGTGACTATCCCGAGATTGCTTTTATGCACTAAACAAAATGCAACCCTAGGTGTGTTTGCAGCTTGAGGTCGTCCTGTAGCTTTGGCAAAACGGTTTGCTTTCCTGAGGTGCTTTCTCCAGAAAATGTCACTTACTTGGATATGATAGCCAGAAGATTTTTCTCATCTAGAAGTATTGCTTTCATTAGTTAAATTAAGGTAAGGCTATGTTACCAGTACAGTATATAACAACACATTTTGTCAATGAAAAACATTTTAAATCTGTTTATTCCAGATAAGACTAAATTTTATTTAATACATTAGAACTGGGCATAGTTTCAAGTATTTCTATTGCAAATAATCAGACTGGTTTTCTCATCATACTTTGATTATTTTTGCTCTAAAAGTTTGGAAAATATAAGAGTTAAGCTAACTGAAAAATATTTTATAAAAGAACAAAGTCATACAAAGAAAACGTGTCAAAATTTAGTTACTACATATTATATATTCAATGTTTTACACTTAATTTATATATTTTTTTAATTTTTAATAGGCCGTTTTCAATGGTGAATAAACAAAAATGCAATAATATTAACTTAAGAGATCTGAAATGAGTTTATATTAAAATACATTTTACATTAAATAAATTATTTAAATATAAGAGTGTTGAGATCTAAACTTTATATATTTCAGTGTTTAATTGATGTCACATCTAACTTTTTAACTACATAGTGTACATTTCTTCTCATTTCATTGGAAATGGCCATTACACATTTTTGAAAAAAAATGATAAGACATTAATACTGATAATTGAGTACTAATACTTTAAAATACAAGTCAAATGCCTTGTAAACTCAGTTCTGATTGTTTTGAGACATACAGGTATTTCACGTGTATCTGTATGTTATGCACTGTTAGGAGGTTCCAGATATTGTGTTAAATAGCTTAAAATTGCATTGGGCAGACTTCAGTGTGAAAAAGGTTGTACAGTATGAGCAGATATTTTCTTTACCAGGTAGTCTTTGAATTGGTAACATTTATCATCAAATATCTATCAGAATTGCATGTCTGCACTTATATTTTGTGTGCTTAAGAGTTTCTGTGAATATCCTTGCTTAGCTTCACTTATTGAGGTAATAATGTTTGTTTAATTCCAGCTTTTCTATTTGTTGTGGCTTTTCTTTAAACCTGGCTTAATGAAAACGGGCAGTTTAAACTGAGTTAAATTTTTAAAAATATATTACTGAACCAAAAAAAGTACTCACTACTTTTTCTAGCGAGAAGCAGAAAAAGATGGAAAAGAAATCTTGTGTAATTGCCACCAGAAGATATGAATGGCTAGCTGGAGGAGAAAGAGACACTGCGTGTTGACAGAGCGCTTGAGCTATGTTCTTCACCCACAGCAGCTGTTTATTCAGATATCATAGGCTCCTTCATTTACATACTAAATTTTTCTATAGCAGCAAGGTTGAGTCAGACAGCACAGGGCTCATTTCAATTGTTACATTTAAACCAATAAGGTTAGGACAAGAGAATAGCTGTGGTTTGCATTACAAAAACAAAACAAAAAGCCCTGAGGCTACATGGGCAGACCTACAAGACTGAGCAAACAAATAGAAGGGATGAAGATTCTGCTGTTTCTTTGTCTAAGGCTCTCAGATATTATCTGTTGCTGTTCAGTGGGGGGAACAGCCCATTCCTCAAAGCTGTTACTAAACAGAACAGTGGGAGCTAATGGTTCAGAGTTTGGTGCTAGACACAAACTCCCCAGTGCCACTTCCGACTCTAAGTCTTCCTGTGAAAGTCCACTTGGTGGTTTTTCTTTCTGGAAAACTTGCTCCCTTCCCCCCAAGCCCCCCCCCGCTTTTGCAGGCAGAGCCTGCAGCAGCAATCACACAAGATTTTGCTCTGAGCTCGGGTTTGCCCTCCAGAGACGCTTCACTTCTGTTCTCGTGTTCGACTGAGAGCTACTAAAAACCAGGGCAGTCGGCAGCAAAGCTCCGCACTCTACTTTACCCAGGAATAAAGCTATGTGAGGAATGGTGGTTTAAGTCAGAGAACGTGAAGGGAGCACATAAAACTGGTGGATACAGCAGATCCAATCACTGTAAGTACAAACCGGCTGTTTTAAAAATTGCATGGAGTGACAACAGCTGTCCTGCGATGCAAAGCAGGAAGATAAAACTAGGTCTTTTCTGTTGAAGCTTAAAAAAGCCAACAACCTCATGAAATGGCCTAATTGCAAAACAATGTGTACTTTTCCAAGTACTTCAGCAACTTTGCATGAGATCCCATCCATAAGTACTTTCTCCATTTCATGGTTAGGTTAATACCCAATTATAAATCAACAGTTTTAACAGTTAATTTTCGCTATGTTTCAGGCTTGTGTTTGTAGGCTTCCCTCAAAGCGATGTTATATGGCTCTATTTATTGTATTCAGTCAGAATTTTGTTCCTCCTGTTTGGTTTCCTGCAGTGTTAATGGTTCATTGAAAATAAATAACACGATGATGAGTTGTTAGGGGCGGAAAAGGGGGGTGGGGGGGAGAGGCTATATCAAATCTATGGACCTGTGCAGAAGAGGTGCAAGAGCGTGAGAAATATAATGAAGAAATTTGGAGGAAGAATGCATGACCGAGATCTTGACAGTACTTTCTGAAGCAGGAAATCCTTTTGCTTAATATGTTTAAATTTTCCAAACACCAGGCAAAACATACAGTTCCCCAAAGGAGAACTTTTCGAGAAGACAGAATAAACATCTACACAGCTAAAATATGTGACGTTTATTGACATTTTATGTGGCTCGTTTAGAACTAAGAACTTAGAATCCGGAAGTTAAAGCTCTTTAAAGTATCATTAAATTTTACATCTTGCTTTTGAGCAATCAAGACTCACAAAAGATTCACAAGTATGTATTTCTTAAGGTGTTTTTGACAAACATCAATAAAATGGATGGCTGCTGTAGTAAAAAACTTATTCTATAAAAATAAAGGTGTCACTGACTTTAAAATCATTCCTTAGATGCAGAAATATTTCAGCGAAGAGACAGGCAGGAAAACTTGTGTGTAACTTTTTAATGCTGTTTGTATCTTAAATAATTAAAAAGACAATGTTGACAGGAAGTTTTTTAAAATATTGTTTTCTATGTAGTCAGAATTCTTTTTGCCCCAGTCATACTTTTCAAAATAAGTATTATTTACAGTTCCTTACTGAAATTTTGTCCAGAGTATTTGAGATAATTAAGGGTGTATAAATGTGTGTATATATACACACACATACACACTCTCAAATCATGGAGTTCCTTACTGCTTTATTCCTAAAGCCCAGTATGTTCTACTATTGAGCAGCCGTAGTCTTTCAAACCTGAAAAATCTGTGTGGTGACAGACACAGAAACCTAACTGAGCCGCTCTTCACCTTCTGGAGCACACAGCATAAGAATGCGCAACTCCAAAAACAGGGCTATCATTTTCTAAGTTTTGATAGTTACAAATTTTTTTGTAAGAGCCAAAAAATGCTTTGAAGACCCGAAAGCTAAGGGTTCATTTTTAAATTTCAGTATGTATTAGAAGTATTGACGCAAAGTGGTACTTGTCTCGTAAAGAGAATAATACTGTTCCCATTTCAGTCAGATGTCAAAATATTTCATTCGTAAGTGTTGGGAATAGGTGAATGAGAGGTAGCATTTTTTTAAAATAAACTAGTATTTAAAAATTAGAGAGCTGTGATCATCTGCTTCTGTTCTGAAAATTATTCTTTTTAATCTCGTCTTTGAAGTAAGTACTTGAATTAAAAAAACTGGACTGCCTCATATATTCTGTACTTCTGTATATTGGTAGGATTACAAGAAGAGTGAAAGTGTAATGAAAGAGTTTGCCAGTTTTGGAGCTGACTTTTTCTCTAGTATCTTTTTCCTTTAATTTCTTCACAGTTAGCTTTTGAAATCATTACATTTATTTGTGAATGGAAAATGTTTTCAAAGAGAAAAAGAATGCTGTTTTGAAAAAAAATGTATATTTTTTGCTGTTGAAAAAGACAGTATTTTCCTACGAAGAAATATTCTGATTAGAAAATTGCCATTGTCTTTGAAATTTTGGGGTAGAATAGAACTGTGGTTGAAAACAACTAGCTCATATGCCAGCTATATTTATTTGGATAAGCTTAGTTTTTTCACTTTGAAAATTTATTTTCAGCTGGAAAAAATGTTTTAAATTATAGTCATTTTATAAAAATTGCTTCTCGCAAGCAAAAAAAAGTCTGTGGAAAACCCATAATTTAGACAAGTACCTACACTTTATTTGCTCTGTGCTGCCGAGATTTAGAATCCCTTCCCATTTACAGTTTACTTTTCACAGAACATTATTAACTTTTTGGCTTCATACATGATCTTCTGTCAGATGCTTTTGATTTGTAATTTAGCAAAGTATAATAAACAGTGCAAAAGTCATGAATTTTCCTCCGCATCCTGAGCTCTGTGGTAGGGAAAATGTGATAAAATGTGTACCTTAAGTCTTGTTTGATGATCTCTCAAAGCAAGTTTGCCTTCTGGAAATAATTTCTGGGGTTGAAGAGCATGGTATTAACAGATTTAATGTGGCTATTCAGTGGATTGGTGGAGTACTATGTGAGGTTTAACAAAATGAGAGAGACAAATTGAACATCAACAAAACCTACATCTGTGAAGAATTATTAATTTAATTAGTAAAAAAGGCAAACTTAAAATACCTCATTAAGTAATCAGAATTTGATGTTACTGGTTTAAGATTCTTAAATAGGTGAATTTTAAGTAGCTCTGATGTCATTGTCCTTTCTTTTCCTTGTCATATATAATACAGTCCCAGTATCTGTTGTCCATGTTAAAGATGAAGAGGTGAATGTTACTTAAAATAATTTAATGATAAATCGTAATAACTTGTGATGCATTTTGAAGAATCTATATATCATTTATCATTTTAGGCAATTTTAGTCTAATCAGGATGCAGAGTATAAGTGAGCAACAGCAAAAAAAAACTTTCATTGTGTATTTTTTATGTGCCCCCTTGAATGGACTCTTAAGGCCAAAACAATTTTTTCCCTTTGCTTAAAGGAGAAATGTATTTAATTATTGAGTTACTAAAATTATTTTAGAATTTCGTTTATATAGAAGCCTCATGGCAAAGGTGGGCAATCATATAAGAGTGAGCCAACGCCACCCAGAAATGTGTTTTTCTCCCTAGTCATCATAAGTTTGTTTCTTTACAACATTGTAATTTTGTACCACACATAAAAAACTGAAAGCATGTGAAGTGTAGCATTTTGTAAACTGTAACTAATTTCACTCACATCTGTGTCTAATTGTTGTCTGCATTCGCATTCTTGAGAGTAGATTTATTTTTCCTGGACCACTATGTGGATTCAGCTGACCAGCCTAAGTGAGGATTAGTTGTTTTAAAGTTATTTTGATTAAAGAGTCATTTTTAAATATGGTAACGAACAACACATGGTTTAAATAATCCTTGAGACACAAAGGAATATATCTGAAGTATGCCTAATGAAAATGAAGATCCTGGATATGAACTTTCTGATTTGTGACAGTGTAAAAGGACATATAAGATACATATTTAATTTTCTAGGCTACATCTAGTTGAAAAACATAGTCAAGTAGTTTTTTCCCCACACTAAATTAATCTAAGTTTTTAAAATACAAATAAAAATAAATAAAAACTATTATTTTGGGAGTAATTACATGTTTGTTAATTTTTATTTTGGAATTAAAATTGTTAGGATTAAATGCATTTCAGAAATTGGTAAAGTAATAATAATATTAAATATATACTTCTGAAACTATGCCATTTAGAGTGTGTGTGCATATATGTGTGTGTGTGTGTGTATATATATATATATATATATATATATCTTTTAAAAAGAAAATATTCTTTCTTGTGTTCATCTGAGACGTATTTTAAATGACCTTCCACATTACTAAGCAGAGATAGCTCTTAAAACAAAGTTAGTTCTCACCTATAATTTATTCCAGGTGTATAGAAGTACCAGTAGAGGAACATATCCTTAAGGCATTCTGCTGCAGTTTCTGGGGTTAAGAGTAAAAAAGTTTCCATCTTACATTTGACTATTTTTCTTTTTCTTACTTAAAAAAAAAGTATGGTGTAGCTGCTGCAAACACACATCTGATATTTCAGTTTGATTTGGCTTGGTAAAGAGCATTGAAAAGCACACTATGCAATATTTTAAATACACAGTTATAAAAAGATTGAAGTTTTTCTGTATGCATTATTGCATGCTTCTTGACATCACTTGTAACGTTATACATTGCCTGGCTGCCTCTAGCAGTGGTTTACTCTTGCTAAAGTAGTAATTCTGTCTGTGATTAAAAATAACAAAAACTACACACACAAGTGAGATTTGCTTGGATGGTTTTTATGGCACTTAAAATGCCTCATCTCTCTTGTCTTTGTTCTGTGATCATCTAAGAGATGTCAGTTCAGGTTGAATGGAAATGCACATGAAAGATTCTGAATGTAGACATTTAGACATTGTATACCCTTGCTGGAAAAGTTTGTTTGTGCATTCAAGCCAACAGCCTATCTTCACCTGCGCGTTATCACCTGTTGGCAATTGTTACTGGCTTTAGAGAAAAGTTTACTATCAAAGGCAGTTCATTAAGTGATGTCCAGCAGAATCCACATTCATAAAGTTTTTCTAATCACATCAGATGAAAATATACTAGTCAGCTGGGGTTTTGAAATGATTGTTTTTATTAAACCGGGAAGACTGCTAATTGGTTTCCACTGTAAAATCCAAGTTCCCTACTGAATCTCAGTATGACCAAAAGCAAATAATGGAAGGGTCACACCAGTTACATTTTTAACAAGAGAACTATAGTCTTTTAAAGTTTGGTATCTGAAATTCTTACAGTTAATTAGAAATCTTACTAATAGATCTCTGTCGTGCAGAAGTGTGTTTTCTGCATTTTAATCTGTTTTGTTTTGCAATATAGTGACATCTTTTAAAACTCTAATCTGCGCTGTTTAGAGATGGACATGGTTTTCAGATAGTTGCACAAAGTGGTTGGTCATAAATGATTTTCAGCTCTACATGGCAGATGTACTTCCCATTTTAAGAAAATATCTGATCTAGTGAATGTTAAATGACAGACAGATGAGGAAGAAAACCAACATGATAAGGTTAAGAAACTGTTGAGTTAAAGAGTGGGAGGGAGATATATTTCAACCAGTGATAACAAAAGATGAAAGATCTTCTGAGGATGCTGAGTTTGAGCTACTTTTGTACAACATGTTCCCTGTGTTAACACCTACCTTTTTCCAGACACCTCTTTCTAGCTACCTTAGCAAGGCTGCTTTGCATGTTGATTGGGGGAGGGGTAATCCAGTTTGCAGCTGTCATAGGCCGGTGATGAATCACTATCCCGTCATTTGGCTGCCTTCCCCCTGACATGGGGAGGAGGGGGATAGACCTGCAGGAGGAAACAACAGTTGAGACTTCAATTTAAAGACAATATGCTTTTCACTGTTGCAGTATGCTCCTTTTCTTTTGGTTAAGGGACAGTATTGTCATCCGCAGTAATATTCTTGTTTAGATTAAGGATTGACATTAAAGCAGAATAATAGAGGCTTCTATTTGTTTCCTGGGTTTGCAGGTGCAAAAATCCTAAACCAGTTCAGATGTTGCTGTTTTCTCAAGTTGCAGGTAAGGATATGATTGATATTTGGCCTGTCTATAGAAAGTACTGCTTAGAAGAATGTTTTTTTACTTCAGGTAAAAGTAAATGTTAATTATTATTTTCCACTTTAAACTGAAGAATATTACGTCAATGCTTGGAGATTTCTGATGAGAATAAATACAATAAAGTCTGTAAACTATGAATAAATTCAGTTCTGCACTAAAATATTTTTCATTTATATGTTAGTCTCTTGCGTCTGAAAAACAAAACAAAAACACCATAGAACTGTAGCTGGGCTTTCAAAATGTGTGGTTTGGCTTTACTAGTGAGAGTTGAAATGAAACAATGTATTAAAGACTTCTACAATAAAATCTCATTATAAATGTGAAAATCAGATGGTTAAAACAACATTTGTGTTTAAAAATATTTACACTTCTACTATGGAAAGAAAAAGAAGTTTTGTGTTTTTTAAATAAATATGAAAAAGTGCCTTCACTATAATTTTTAAAGTGGAAACAGTCCAGGTTCAAATGTATTCGTAGAAAAGTAAACAATACACATTTTCTCTCAGGAGAGGCTATTTAGAAAAAGTAAGTCATTGGCATTATCATAAGTTTTTGGAACAATGGAAACTAAAGCAATATATACTTGTTTACAAACTTAACAAATGCAAGCTGAGAGATTTGTAACTGTGATCATGGCCAGAGGCCTGTTTTCCTTTTTATGAAACTGTTAATTGTTGAATCGAAGATATTTCTGGGGAATTTAGCTGTTTGTGTACTGCATAAATGTTGATTTTTTTTTGCATTGAATCTGAATTGTTTTTGTTTTATTTTGACTAACTGACAGCTGAGATACTGCAGAGTGTTAAGGCATACTAACGCCTGTATGGATTCACTGTAGGTTGCCTTATCCCTTTTCAATTGGGCACACTTTATGTAATCCACAAAGCAAACAAGGGAGCAGACATAATAGTGTTTTAATGCTGCATTTGTTTCAACGGAAACAGGAACAATTAAGTAGTTTGCCAGAGTAAACACATACATCAAGAATATCTCATTCCCTGTCACTAGACTGTAGGTTTCAACAATTGCTTCAAGTGTTTTATTTGGTTTGGAGGCCCATTAAATTCCAATTGGGTGGTAAATTTTGAGAAGGCACAGTGTTATCTTATTGCTAAGGGAATGTATTGTTTTATACATTGATGAAACTGCCCGTTAAACATAATTTAAAAAGTGTAAGATGATAAGAATCTCCTAGTTATAGATTCCTATATTTATATTATATTCTGTTAAGGGTTACAATATTAGATATGACTGTTTATTATGAGTTGAATATATGGAGTGACAACGCAAGAGTTAACACTTTGATGATGAGAAAAAATGATCATGATAGGGAAAACTATTGATTATTTACAAAGTATTTTATAATCAAGTAGAAATAATGGATTAGATGTTGTATGGACAAATCCTCCATAATTAAAGTTGAACGTATCAGTAAAATTGTCTGCTTCTTGATTTTAGGTCTATGGAAATGCAGGATCTAGCCAGCCCGCATAGCCGACTAAGTGGTAGTAGTGAATCCCCCAATGGTCCAAAACTTGATAACGCTCATATAAATAGTAATTCCATGACACCCAATGGCACAGAAGGTGAGCTACCATTTTCTCTGACTATGTTGTTCTTTCTCAAGAGATTGTTCCATCAATCTTTAAGTCAGTAAGTTATATATAGAGAAAATTGTACTATTTTAGGTGTTCCATCTTTGTGTAATATGATGTATAAAGGCTATGTTCAATGTTTGTCAGTAATTAATATTATCGGCTTTCAACAATAGCTCTCATACCATGTTTATATTCCCTTCACATATTTTCAATGCATTTGAGTGGTATTATGTTGCTTAAATTAAAATAGTTGAAATCCATCAACAAAATAATTTGCATTTTAGTGATGAGAAGAACAGGAAATATCTAGTTAGCTGCTATAAAAGGTAAATTATAAGCAGTCATTGCCATTTCTCTATTTTAATTTTGGATTTTCATTTTGTGTAAGTTAGTAAGTTTATGAAAACTTTGCCATGTAGGCTAATACAAAACTGTCCTTAAAAATTAGGTGTTGATATTTCCTAAAGATAAATTGATCGGCTGTATTCAGCTGCCGTTCTTATGATGGATTGTCCAAAATTCAAATAGTTATAATAATTCAGTGAAGGTAAAATATGATACATATTTTTCATATTTTGATGAGAAGAGGAGAAATAGCTGAAACAAAAAGCAATTGACTTACCAACTGGCTATATTTGTTCTCAGTATAATACTAAGAGTATCTCAACACATCTCCCCTACAAATAATGACTTCTGTAAAAATGTAATGCTGTTCAGGTAATTGTGGAAAGCAGTCTTTACTACAACCCTGCAGCAAAAGAAAATAAAAGATCATGAGTTTCTAATGTATTCACAGATCTGAAACTTAGACTCACGTTTTTTTATAAAACAGATTTTTATAGCGTACATTTGAGTATTACTTGTTGTAAAGACGTACTGTGTGTTAAAAGCCAACATATAAATAATGAGCCAAACTGTTTTAGATATGCACTGCGTTCTTCCAGGAAAGGCATCTGTCAATCAGATAGATGTTGTCCCCCCTGAGCTCCCTAAATATCTCTGTTATCCACTCTAATTGGAGTCTACTGTTGTTTGGGATGGCTTATCAAAAGCTGACAGTAAATTGTGCTGGAGTTGTGTATAATTTACTTTATGCTATTGCTACAAAATAAGGTTTGTAAGATTAAACTTTAAGCCATTTTTAATTCTAATAACCTATAGTATTAACCTCTCGGGTTCTTTTTGTTTGTTTTTGTTTTTAAATAAATACTTACATATGATTGTGGTTTTCCTGTTATTTTAATTAAAGTAGAAAAAATTAAATATTCTATGCCCACAAAAGACTCTTCTGTCATTTATATGTTAACAGATATAATTTTGGAACAGGGTAAATGTCCCATTTTCAAAACTTACTTGGGCACCTGAGAGCTTAAATTCCATTGACTTTTAGTGGGTCTTAGGTTCCTAAGCCTTGCATGGTGACAGGTTTCAGAGAGGTAGCCGTGTTAGTCTATATCAGCAAAAACAACGAGGAGTCCTTGTGGCACCTTAGAGACTAACACATTTATTTGGGCATAAGCTTTCGTGGGCTAGAACCCACTTCATCAGATGCATGAAGTGAAAAATACAGGAGCAGGTATAAATACATGAAAGCAACCCCCATCATTTCGTGTATTTA